GCAGACCGGGGTGGTGGTTCCCTTATTTAAAAAGGGGGACAGCAGGGTGTGTTCCAACTACAGGGCGATCACACTCCTGAGCCTTCCTGGTAAGGTCTATTCGGGGTTCTGGAGAGGAGAGTCCATCTGATTGTTGAACCTCAGATTCAGGAGGAGCAATGTGGTTTTTGTCCGGGCCGTGGAACACTGGACCAGCTCTATACCCTTAGGGGGGTCCTGGAGGGTGTGTGGGAATTTGCCCAACCAGTCTACATGTGTTTTGTGGATTTGGAGAAGGCATTTGACCTCGTCCCTGGGGGGGCCCTGTGGGGGGTACTCCGGGAGTATGGGGTACCAGGCCCTCTGATACGGGCTGTTAGGGTATGACCGGTGTCAGAGCTTGTTCCGCATTGCCAGCAGTAAGTCGGGCTCGTTCCCAGTGAGAGTTGGACTCCGCCAAGGCTGCCCTGTGTCACCGATTCTGTTCATAACCTTTATGGACAGGATTTCTACGCACAGCCAAGGTGTGGAGGGCATCCGTTTTGGTGGCCTGAGGATCAGGTCTCTGCTTTTTGCAGATGATGTGGTCCTGTTGGCTTCATCAGAACGTGATCTTCAGCTTTCGCTGGAGTGGTTCGCAGCCGAGTGTGAAGCAGCTGGGATGAGAATCAGCTCCTCTAAATCTGAGACCATGGTCTTGATTCGGAAAATTGTAGAATGACTTCTCCGGGTCAGGGATGAGGTCCTGCCCCAAGTGGAGGAGTTTAAGTATCTCAAGGTCTTGTTCACAAGTAAGGGAAAACTGGAGCGTGAGATCGATAGGCGGATTGGTGCTGCATCTGCAGTGATGCGGGCGTTGTACTGGTCAGTCGTGGTGAAGAGAGAGCTGAGTCAGAAGGCGAAGCTCTCAATTTACCGGTCGATCTACGTTCCTACCCTCACCTATGGTCATGAGCTTTGGGTAGTGACCGAAAGAATGAGATTGCGGACACAAGTGACCGAAATGAGTTTTCTCCGAAGAGTGGCTGGGCTCTCCCTTAGAGACAGGGTGAGACGCTCGGTCATTCGGGAGGGGCTTGGAGTAGACCCGCTGCTCCTCCACATCGAGAGGAGCCAATTGAGGTGGCTTGGGCATCTGGTCAGGATGCCTCCTGGACGCCTCCCTGGTGAGGTTTTCCGGGCACGTCCAACCGGGAGGAGACCTAAAGGTAGACCCAGGACACGTTGGAGGGACTATGTCTCTCACCTGGCCAGGGAACGCCTTGTGATTCCTCTGGAGCAGCTGGCCCAAGTGGCTGGGGAGAGGGAAGTCTGGACCTCTCGCCTTAGGCTACTGCCCCTGCGACCCGACTCCGGATAAGCGAATGAAAATGGATGGATGGATGGATGGATGGATGGATGGATGGAACTGTCAGTGTTGTGCCGTTGTCAGGTAAAAACTCTGCACTGCATTTGAATTTAAATCTGCCATTGCTATTGGCTAAGAAACCCTAGAACGTTGGCTGGTACCATATGATGTCACAACGTTGTTGTGAGCCTGTGTGTGTGTGTATTTGTTAGCGGCTCTGCCTTCTCTCTCTGCTAGGCAACAGCATTTGTTGCATTTTTCAAACAGGAAGTGGGAGCGGAGTAAGACTCTGGTAGGGGGTGACTTGCTCTTTAAATGACTTTTTGCTTTTTTCATTAGTGTGATAAAGATTGTCCGTTCATAATGCTTTTTCGTTTGGAGGGCTCTCACCTGGGGACATCGTCTTCTGTTGTCAGAGTCCTGGGCAGCGGCGAGTACCTGGGTGTGGTCAGTGGGGCGGGGCTTACAGACTGGCTGCCACTCATGTAGGGGCTCACATGGTTGTCCTGATGTGGTGAATATGCTGGTAAAACACATAAACACACATGTTAGCCTTATCATATTCATCTCACAGTCATAGTGATAGAAGACATTTTCCCACTAGGAGAACATCTAACTGATCTCTGCTACTTCAGTGAGGAAACTGCTGGATTTTCTCACAATAACAATCAATCAATCAATCAAAGCTTTATTTATAAAGCGCCTTCCGCAACCCTGTCAGGAAGCCCAAAGCGCTGAACATGGTACAGTTAAGTAAATATATTGAATAAATCAACAATAAAAGAAATTCAAATTACAAAATACTAATTACAAAGTACAAAATGGAAATTACAAGATAGTTGAAGCAGTCCGGTAAAGGACAAATGTGTGAAACACATTTGGATTGAGTGGATGGATTGAGTGTCCCAATGAAAACTGTGGAATGGATTCAACATAAAAGAGGGCCAAAATCAAACAAATGTTCTGCAACTACTTTAGAAGAAACATGTTGCTTGGTGGAACATTGGTTTGGAAGGATGACATGTGACTGTGAGCCAGAGGACCAATTTTACCCAAACTGAAAAATTATAACTATGAAATAACATACTTCAGATGACAATGCATACATACATACAGACGTGGACAGAATAGTTGGTACCCTTTAAAAACCCACAAAAGTCACAGAAATAACTTGAAACTGACAAAAGTAATAACTAAAAATTCTATGAACCAATGATAATCAGACATTGCTTTTTAACCATGCATCAAGAACATTATTTAAAAAAAAACCTCACGGAACCCTAGCCCTGGACAAAAAGGATGAAAAGACTGAAAATAATGTGACCAAAGGGACATGCTATTTCAAGGTGTGTCCACTAAATAGCATCACAGGTGTCTACAGTCTTGTAATCAGTCAGTGGGCTATATATAGAGCTCCAGGCAGTCACTGTGTTGTTTGGTGACATGGTGTGTACCACATCCAACATGGACCAGAGGAAGCAAAGGGAAGAGCTGTCTCAGGAGATTAGAAAGAAAATTATAGACATGTATCTTTTTGTTTTGAGTTTGTTATTTTTTACTTTCATTACACAATTAAATCTGTAATACTCCGTGTGAAACGTGATGTATGAGTCATTGGTTTGTGGCTAGAACACATATGACATCATACTTGTCACAAAACTTTGACAGTTAAATGCATTTTTAAGACTAAAAGTCCGACTGCCTTCGAGTAGATCTGAAATGAGGTTAAATACATTCTAAAATAGGCTATTTCCTAACTTTAACAAAACCTAAGATACATGGTTTTGTATAATAAGGCCTGCAGTGCTACAGAGCACCTGAAACCTTGAACTGATGATGGGAGGTTTGGAGGGAATTAGGGCGAGTCTGATCTGCAGCACGACCAGTAAATTAGGAGTTGCTGTTAATGGCCTGCAGACAGGAACCAGGACAACATATTCCACGTCTGTGGGCTCGATCCGTTTCAGTGGCATGAAAAGAACCAACTTCATCTTAAATGGGTTAGTCATAATGTTTTGGCTGATAAAAGTTTACAGAGTTTTCCCATATGTTATGCTTGAAAATGTTTGTGTGCTAGACTGACCTGAATCGATACCACAAAAAAGTGTTAGATTAGAGAGCAGTTTACCCTCTCCTTTGTAAAGGAACACTAATCAGTTTTGCTTGCTTTTAGCTTCCCCTAGTGCTCATTTGTAGAAGCAAAACTGTCTCCTCACTGTGCGTTCTTATTTTTAACACCTTAATCTAACGTGCGTTCCAGAGTGTCTAGAGGAGTGGTTCATCACTAAAATTAAACAAATTAGCTGTGTTCATGATTTAAAACATGCAGGAAATGTGCTGGAGCCAGACGGCAGCGTCAGCTAAGTCAGCTCAATCTTTTTGAAGTTGGCAACCGTGAAGTTGCAAGTGGAATATTCTGGCCACAGGGGGCGATAAGGGCTGGGTGGCCTTTCATTAAAGGGACTTTAGGGACTTTTGAATTTTTATGCTCGCGATTGCCCCCTCAGGCCAAAAGCGTAACGGCAGCTTCAATAGTAGGCTCATGCACGAGGCGCGCATGCTGTACGCGCACGCTCTTCAATGAAAATAACAGCTGAGACAGTCCCGTGTGTGTGTGAGTGGCCCAGAGGACAGAGAACAGGAGAATGTTCAGCTAATTAATTAAATAATGTGGTTCTGTACCTTTCTCTTCAGCACAGCCGACAAAGGTTTAAGATGGGTCAGTCCTCCTGCATGCTCAGATCATTCCCTTCCCTTGCTTGAAAAATTGTTCCAAAATGAAAGTTGAACCCACATCTTTTTTATCTGTGAATTCAATGCCGTCTTTAATAAAAATTTGGGCATCTTACTGTAAAAAATATACCATTAATGTAAAAAAGAAACTCTAAATGAACTATGTTCACACCCAGAATGGAACCCAGGACTTCTGCACGAGAGTCAGACATCTTACAAGGTGAGCTACACTCTAGTAACATTCACAGTATCTGTAACTTTTATATCCTTGATGACAGCTGAAACAACGTCAAACCAAAGAACGGTTCGGAGTGAAAATGGCTATTTTGTTGCTAATTTGCAGGAAATATCTAGAATAAAGTTCTACAGAAAGTAGCTAAGGGTCCTCAGAAATGTAGCTAGGTTCATCACTAGGCGTTAGGAACAGCGACAAAGTGGCACTGCCTCTCTCTCTCTGCTGCTAAAGCTACGGATAGCAAATGCTACGGGCTATGACTGAGCGTGAACGCGCATGAAGCAGCCTGCTCGACCCGAGCATCTCTCTTTTTCTGTGATTTTACAGAAAAACAGGCAATCACAGTAAAAATGCCAGGGCTCATTTTACAGGACCAGGGCATTGCAGGAGAATGTATGAAGAAGGCATTTATTATTTCTACATGTTTTGGCTGTCAAACTTCCATAATGTCCCTTTAACCCTGTAAAGGGTCATTTTAGCACAAACTGGCTCAAGGAAATTATTTAAAAAATATGAACAATTTGCAAATTGTCCCTTTAATCCACAAACTTTTCATGGTCCTGATTCTGATTCACGAGTGAGTTCGGCTCAAGTACCAACAAATACCTTGGAGTTCACCTGGACAACAGACTGGACTGGAGAAAGAACAGTGAAGCTCTTTACAAGAAGGGACACAGCAGACTGCACTTCTTGAGGACGCTTAGGTCCTTCAATGTCTGTAGCAAGATGCTGCAGATCTTCTACAAGTCTGTTGTTGAGAGTGTAATCTCTTCAGCCATCGTCTGTTGGGGTAGCAGCATCAGAAGCAGGGACCTGAAAAGGCTCAACAGCCTAATAAAAAAGGCTGGTTCTGTTCTGGGGACGACTGTGGAACCACTGGAGGAGATCATGCAAAGAAGGATTCTCCAGAGAATCAAGAAAATTATGGACAACCCTGAGCATTCTCTTCACAAGACTGTCCAACAACAGAAGAGTGTCTTCAGTCAGAGGCTTCTTCAGTTTCACTGCAACACTGACCGCTACTGGAGATCCTTCCTGCCAACAGCCGTTGTAATATACAACAACTCTTTGATGACTTGATTATTATTATTATTCTGAGCTACTACAGCAATCAATTTCCCTCTGGGATTAATAAAGTATTTTTGAATTGAATTGAATTGAATTGAAGTCTCACATTTGTGGTAATTAATACATATTAATTATGACCAATAAGAAGTGATATTCCAAATAAATATGAAACATCAATCTGATTGCTCTTTGAATGTTTAATCAGAAGATTCTAGGGTTCTTTGCTTCTCTAGGGACCATAAACACACTTCGTATTTATTCAGGCAGAGTCAGTACATAGTTTATAAAATTAATTTAATTATTTTTACTAAACTAATAATTTATACATGACAATATATGAACAAGGAGATGTGACGTGGTGGATGTGAGGTGTTGTGATGGAAGCTAGATGTTTTAGCAACCGTTCTTTATATCTGAGAGAAATTTTGAAATCTGGGTGTAAAAGAATTTGTTGTTTGTTTTAAACTAAAGAGTTGTTTATTTATAAAAACCTCATCAGACACCAGTATGCAGGCTTACGATACCCTGGTATGAGTTGCTCCTGGCGGTCCGGAGGGTTGCGGTCAGAGCGGTGAGGTCACTGGACGTCGAAACCACAATACTCAGAGATTAGTAGCTTACTCTGAGTTCAGCTTGAGATGCAGCCCGGGGTCTGCAGATTAGAGGTCTGAGGTGGACGTGTGAGAGCTGAAGTAGCTCTGAAAAGAGCTGTTGTGTCTGTAATCACTTACAGCGTTGCAGAAAGGTTTTTGACTTCAGGTCAAAAGAGTTTGTTTCAAAAGGCTTCTTTCCCGATTTGGCCGAATCGGGGGTCAGCTGGAAACTGAATTAATTGGGAAGTAATTCTTGTTTTAATAAACTTATTATTTATAAATTCTGGTGTATTCTGACGAATCAGAAAGCCATGCCCTCCTCAGATACAAAGACCTTAATATGTATTGTAATGTGTATGAGTGTAAACAATGATTAACTTGTTAAATCAAACACATACTGATTTGTGATATAAATGGATCATTATAAGGACAATATTCATTTTAAATTCGTTGATTTAAGCACAGATTATTCAAACATGTCATTTAAGCATCTTGTTTATTCATCACATATGATTATTGTAAGCTTATGAGTTGTAAAATCATGGAGTCTTCACTTGTTCAGAGGGAAGAATGTTGACGTCTGGCTTTCATGCATTTAGCAGAGAATGTTTGTCTGGATGTTTTGTCTTCTGTATGTAAACACGTGCTGAACAGAGCCTTCTGGGTTTGGAAGTCTAAACAGAAAGTGGATTTATTTCTGAAGACGAACGGTTATCATGTTGGTCAATATATAGGTGAAAATGGACCCTTTGGGACATTACACATTATAAAACCAGTAATTTAGTTTTCTTTATGCGTCTGAGCCACGACTTCAGCCTTGGTCATTGTTGTCCTTTCAGGCACAACGCCAACCACCTGTGCACGGCCTAACTTCTAGCCGTTTCTTGTTAAGAATGGGAGGATTCTGGTCAAATCCTATTTAGGAACCCCATGTCATGCAATGAAGAAAAGCAAGAGCAGAATTAAACCTCTCACATTCACGAGCCCCTTGTATTGATCGATGTCAGGTTTGTACTCACAGTTGGTGACGTCGGGTGGAGGGAAGTTGTCGTTGATGAACATGGTGCTGTGTTTGGCCACACGGAGGAATACAACATCAGGAGTGGACTTTAGTGCAGCGACCGCCTCCTCATGAGACACCTCCTCCAAACATGAGTTATTTACCTAAAAGAAAATAAAGAAATATGCTTTACGTGTGTTTTAAAAGGGTCCTAGAAAAACTTTAAAAACTAGAAACTGTTCTATGAGTCTGCATTCAGAACAATACATCGTTGTACATCAATTATATGGCCATTGATAGAAATGCAAAAGTTGATAAAATTACTCTTTATCAAATTAACTTTTATTTTGAAAAATAAATTTATTTTGAAGTTCTGCTGACATGTTGTATTTCCACCTGTTCCTAGATGAAGAAGCTAGTGGCATCATGGCGATCAGTGAGGAAACTGACCCTCGCCTGGGAAACAGTTGTGTTCAATCACTTGTAACATTGTTTTCTATCGATCGGTGGATCCTAACGGTATTGTGACTGAATATGAGACATCAGCAAACATCAAATCACAATCATAATATCGTATCACGATTAAACTGATGATTTACATCCCTAGATGCTACTATATGAAACTTTGTTGGGGCTCAAAATGTCCCAGGAGACCTGATAAAGGGCCAAACACAACCCCATAATAAAGCCCAACAGTGGAAGCCCTGGATAGCCCTGCCCACTCATCTAGATAAAACACGAATATTGAATTATCTGCGTGGTTACCCTGATGGCTTCATGAACACCTGAAGCAAGAAACTGTGTGCACAGCCATGTAAAGTATCCAGATTACAAAATAGGCCAGCTACAGATCCACCTGGCGTTCATTCCTAGTCTGGATATTCCCAGTACATCCTGGAATGTTACATGCGAGCTCTGTTTAAACCCTTCTGCACCATGGTCTGGTTCAGTCAAGGTGTTTCTGGCTCACTGCCAACATAAAAACTGTGGCCAATTTTTCTTTAATACATAAATATTTATTTTCATTATAAAATCCTTTAACTGTAAATAAAAATAAAACAATTATTCATTTATTTTGTTTAATTTTGAAAATTTCTAAAAGAGCGTGGCATGCTGGGAAAATTGCCCCATCCAATCAGTCATCCGCGTGCTGAACATAAACAATAGCTAGCCCTTTAGCTAGCCTACTATTAACTTTAGGTTAATATCAAACATGATGAAAATGGTCATTTGTTGTTAGTTTTCTTTTAGGGCTTCACTTCCAGCAGTTTTATCAGGTATTGTTTCCATTTTGTCTCTCAGGCGGTCCTACTTTGACAACACAACAATTTTTTTTATTAATAGGGCAGATCACGCACAGCTCGGCTCGGGTGAGGGAATGTGGAGTTAACTCAGTGTCTCTCAATTATTTTCCGTCACGCCCTGGTACGAGAGGCAGCTCCGCTGCTTTTTCTGCTGGGTTAAATGGACAGTCTGTCAACTATTCTGAGCACTGCTGCCACCGAGTGACAGAGGCTGGTTTAGCATTCCAGCATAAAAATGATGCCCCATTGACTTCCATTCATTTTGTGAATGTCAAGTTCATGATTAGCAATACAGGAAATATTAAAAACCAACTGACACCCTTGAGGGTTGGTGGTTTCTAACAGAAGATTGGTACCTAGGTGGATCAGATTTCATAATAAATTTAAAAAAAATTCTTACAGCAACTAGCTTGTCCCCAATCTGTAGTCGTCCATCTTTGTGTGCAGCCCCTCCCTCGATGATTTTAGTGACATAGATGCTGTTGTCACCAGGAACGTGTTGGTTTCCAACTCCTCCTGCTATACTGAATCCTAAACCTGACACAGAAAAAATATCAGTAACTGTCACTCACTGGTGTTTACTGGCTCCAGTGTTGCTTGTTACGTGTAGCAAAGACTCACCTTTGGGGCCTTTGACCAGTTTAATATCCATGATTCTCTCAGCGAGACTCCTCCTGCGTCGTACACACAGGCGGACCAGTCCTCCAGCGTCCTTCAGCGCCTCCACAGCCCCGCTGTGAGTCACCTCCCTCACGTCGGTGTCGTTCACCCGCACTATGCAGTCGTTCACCCTGCACAAGGCAAAGAAATAACAAGTCTGACTTTTTTCCAGGAGATAAATGAACATACGTATGATGGCTTTAGAAGTTTAGTAATCTATGTAATTAACATGCAAGCTGTAGACAACAAAACATGCAGTTTCTGTATTCTTAATTTATGCTGTAAAGTAGAAAAATATTTAACTAATGTAAGACAGCTTTTTTTATTGCATGTATCACAATGAAAATACTTTTCACTGGCAGCACAGAGAAAGTGCTGGTAATGTAAGACCTCAACTTACAAATTTACAAAATCATACATAAGATTTTGCAATATATCATTCATAAAAAAGAATTTTTACATTAGGATCATTCAAACAGGAAGTAAAATTGATCAAATTTTAGTTTTGGTGTGGAGCTAAATTTACAAATGTTTATAGTTAATGGGCTTAAAGGTGCAATGTGTAAGAATGAATTAATAATGACATCCTGTGGTCAAATTTGATTACTGCAATAACTTTCTAGTTAAATACATTGTCATATCTTGTGTATGTACTATTGGTTGTTTTACGGTTGGGAGCACTTATTACACTTATTACAGTAATGTTTTTTCCAGTGTTGGAGGAGGTGTGCGTTTTATTTTTGCTTTCTTGCTGTTAGCTTGCGGTTAGCTTGCTGTTATAGTTCTGAATGACTCATTAAAGGAAGTAAAATGCCACAATTCACTCATTATTTACTTCACACATACATTTCACTGCAATATATAGTTGTTGGAAGCTTGAGACACTTTTTCAGTTGAGCATTTGTTTCTGATTCACTGTTAGCAATGTTAGCTCAACAACAGCCTCTAGCCTGCTTCAACTGATATTAGAGTAATGCAAAAAGATGCTGTGGTCTCTTAGGGGTACAAGAAATAACTTCTGGGTCGCTCCTGTTTACTGGCTTTGGTTCTTTATACAACTCTAGAGCTTTTTGCCTGCCGTTGTTGAGTTAGAAATGCTGGGGCAGCAGCATTAGCACCGTGCAGACTTCATAAATTAGCATGCTCACTGATATGAACAGTAACTACATCCAGGTATGTGACTGGGTTAAGTGAAAAAAACTTGAAAATGGCAGGGGGTACTGTGGAGAAGGGGCAATGCCCCTTGTCCCCACTATTTACTCACTGTAAACCGCCAATTGCCGTCAATATCTCCATTCATTCATGCACAGAGCAGACTTCCTTTCAGTTTCCTCTATGGGCACCGCCATTTTAAACGTCATCACACGTGCACCTATAGCGACTTGTATAATTTATCTAATAATTTAAATTATTAATAGTTTAAAACTGGACAAAAAAGAGAACTTGTGAAAAAAGAGAACATTTCTATTCTGTAAATTAAAAATATGCAAACACAGGCAGCTTCAAAGGAGGAATTAAAATATAATTGTTCTTAACTCCATAAAAAGCATGTAATTTCATATGTTTGGGTAGTTTAAATCAAGATTCATCATGTCAAATATTCAACTTATTTTACCTGAGACGTCCATTTTGGGCCGCAGCTCCTCCTGGAATAATCTTGGTGATGAAGATTGAGGGGTCTTCTCCGATGTGGGGGTTATCAGTGCCTCCAGCAATACTGAAGCCCAGGCCTGAGTTACCCTGTTTGTTAACGATACAAAATAAATGCCATTCAAGTTTAATTTCCCTCTGGGATTAATAAAGTATCTTTGAATTTGATTTTGAATTTGAACAGGACTTTGAAATGTACTTATAGAGGTTAAAACTGATTTTCACAAGTGTGTGGATACTTTTATTGCTATAACGTAAATTTAAAAGTAGAAAAGGGGAGGAAAGCTGTAAAAAACACAGAGCTACTTTAAAACTGTACAAATAAAACAACTAAATTAAAATCTGAAATAAGATCTCTGATTTACTGTGCGGATATTATTTGCTAGAATAAAGGACATGACTGGTTACGTTGTACGTTACGTAAGACGTTAATCACACTGGAGTAGTTTGTATGCAGGATTTAAACCTACTGTTGCCAAAAACTCACACACGGTTAATACCCTACCACACTGCATGCATTCAATAAATTGAATATATTACGCCCGCATCTCAATTTTCACCAGAAAGCCTTTTCTACCGTGTCTCTAAATGCTCGTCTTTCGTTTTGCAGAGAGAGCAAACCGCAAATTTAGCAAATAAAACACTGCTAAATAAACCACTCGTTCCATTTCTTCTGCCCATGTTCTGTCATGGGTCTAATGGTCTTGCAATGTTCCCGTGTTTGTATGTCCGTGGTGACTTTAGAGCAGATTCAGCCAAGCAGACAGAACCAGGTCACAGGAGAATAGAATGATGGAAAGACAGAGAAAGACAGCCTGGGGGAGGTGAGAGAAATGGGAATGGTGAAACCGTGAAAGAAAAGTGGGAAAGGATGAACAAGGAATGGAGAGAATGGCAAAAGAGGGTTTAGCAGAATCAGAACCAAGGACGAAAATGCACGATGAGATGATGCCTGAAGATCAGATATTAGGATGCTGACACAGGGCAAATGGAAATGTTTCATGTGGTAGGAAAACCTCATCTTTTTAAAACTAAACAGCTAAAAATAAAATGCACTCTCTCACGATGTCTGACAATCTAAAAGATTAGAAGGATATTCTTTACGTCACTGTGTGACGCATGGGCCGCTGCTCATGATCAGTCTAAGGACGCTGATGTCTAAATCAGCCTCTGAAAAGGGCTTAAAATGATGAACGCGTGGTGGGCGGTGCCAAAATCTGAATCACGGTCAGGTCTATTAGCTGTATTTATTAAAAAGAAATAAACTTTCTGATGCATAAATTCTGACGTGTGTGTTATATATTATTACCCGCTCCAGTGTGATTTCCTCATATTCGTAGTCTGCTTCTGTTCCATTGACCTGCCAGAAAAAGAGAAAACAAAGTTATTAAAATCCGAATGAAATAAAATGTTTAAGCTTTTTGTCTGAAATTTGCCATTTGTACTTTGCATAATTTAATAAAACTATAATATTCTTATTAAAATATACCTTTTAGTTGTGTCCCTGGGGCTTCACTCAGTCCTGTTACCCATAGTCTCCTATACCTATCTCCTGCGTTAGCTTCTCATAGAAAATAAATGATGAAAATTTTGTTGTACAAATTCTAATGACAATAAAGGTGAATCGAACTGAATAGATGGTAAAACTCTAGGATTTAATTCCTCACAGATCTACGACACACTGTGAATTGAAATTCGTGGACTCACTAATAATAAAGACAAAGACCCAGGTTAGAAATCTTGGTGTGATCATTGACTCCAACCTGAGCTTCTCTGGACATATTAAGACTACAACTAAATCAGCGTTTTATCACCTTCATCAAATATCAAGAGTCAGAGGTCTCATGTCCAGACCAGACTTAGAGAAACTTATTCATGCTTTCATTTCTAGCAGGTTAGACTACTGCAGTGATCTCCTAACTGGTCTTCCCAAAAAAGCTGTGAAGCAACTGCAGCTTGTGCAGAACGCTGCTGCTAGAGTCTCAACAAGATCTAAGAGAACGGAGCTCATCACTCCTGTTCTTAGATCCCTATACTTCGAAGTGCTCCTACTAGTTTATAAATCACTCAATGGCATGGGACCAAAATGTCCGATCTATTTCCTGTATGTACACCCAATAGGGCTCTGAGATCCTTAGGAAACAATCAGCTGTTAGAACCTCGGGTCACAACCAAACATGGTGGAGATGCATTTAGTTACTATGCTGCTCACATAAGGAATCAGCTCCCCCATGACCTCAGATGTGCCCCAACCCTAAAATAAAACCAAAAACTCTAATGTACTCATCAGCCTTTAAATGAATTGTTTCTTGTCATCTCCACTGTAATCTGCACTGTAACTTTGTATTCTCCTTTACATCTAAACTGTAATTCTATCTGTGTGTATTTTAATTTGTGTTTTTATGCTGTTTTCATATCATGTCCCGATAATTGTAAAGCACATTGCATTGCCTCAGTATTTGAAATGTGCTCTATAAATAAAGCTGCCATGCCTTGCCTAGTATTGCCTGACGACGGAGAAGGCTGATGTTTTAACCTCCGGGGCTCAGCAGCGGACTTCTCGACTAGTAGAAGCTAACTGTTAGCATTAGCAACACCACCACACAGCAGAAGCTCCTCCTGGCATAAAGCATCTTTCGGGATTTTCCCCTTCCAGAAATTATGTATGACTATTCAGAAATACGCCTTTTTTGTTTTGCTACACACGCCCCCTGCCCCACAGAGCTCCATGCAATAGGAAACTGAGTGCCAACCAAAACTAAACAGTAAAGTTAAACTACCGCTTACAAGCTTCAAATATAAGGGCGTACCTCGGCTGATGCAGAGTTGATGAACTTTTCACGGACAAGTAAGTCTTTAAAATATAAATATCTGAAAACACAAAATTACATGAGAATAATACTCATAAAACAACGTGTTTTACTCTGTTTGTCGGCTAGAGAAGCACATTTATAACTAGAAGCGTGAAGTCGCCATCTTAAAAAAAATGGTTCCAGAGACTTTGTGTAACATGCTTGTCAGCCACTAGATGGTGCCATCGGATAAGAGAAATTCGAAAGAGACTTTAAGTTATTTGTGGAGATAAAACATCCACGTTGCAAGTCAGTGGTGCGCTGCCGTTATCCAGGCCAGGGCGAGATGTCCAAATATCAGGAAATAAGACCCCAAAACCTGCTGTCTGAAGCTCAGCTGTGATGTGAGCAACTTTTAGGTCAGACAAATGGTGCACCGGTATATTTTTCCCCCCTGAGAATGACTTACAAGGCATTCATTTCTACTAGAGACCACTGTTGATGTATTGATTGAGCAAGTAATCAATCAATCAATCAATCAAAGATACTTTAATAATCCCAGAGGGAAATTAGTTTCAGTACACACAATTCAGAGATCAGACATACATGGGCAAGACACATGACAAGAATTGGTGACTGTGGTCATTTGCAACCCTGAGTCGCGCTACCTTAATAGAAATAAGAGGGTTACATGAGGATTGGTTCAGGTGGAGGGAAAAAATGCACTTCAGAGCTATCCTCCACCAGGAGGGCAGCTTTGCTCTGCGAAAAAAAAACCCCACCTCAGACAGATATGCAACAGACTTCAGGCAACACAACATAAGTGTCCACTAGGTGGGGTGGTGGGTTGGGACTATCCCCACTTCAGTTCCTGCAGCCACGATAAGCAGCGCATGTCACCTCAGTGTGGATAGGGAGAGGAGCATTGAGGGTTGGAGGGTTGCAGTGACCCTGGAACGTTTCAGCGGCCTTCCCGCAGTCCCGCCCAGGCTGAGATAGAAGACAGAGTTGAGTTGCCATAGCGATGGCACATTCCACATATCTTCTGAGGGGGGACTTTTCGTTGGAGCCTTGCAGGCTCAAGGACGCCAGATTCCGATTAGAAATTGTTTTGGGGCCAGACAAGAGATAATTTCCTCTCTGTCTTACAGTTTGTTGGTCCTCAACCCCTCAAAATCTCAATAATGGACATTAATCTATCCCAATCCGTGCTGATCCGTCCACTCTCTCCTTGATGGCATCCATCTTTTGTGCCAATGAATGAATCTCGGCCAATGTCCCAAGCTTACGATTCATCTCGACAATTATGTGAGTCTGTGAATTCACAGCGCGGTGCGAACCATCTCTGAGCTCCGGGATCAGGCCAATATTCCTCGAGAGCTCGTTAATTTTCCGGTAAGCCAGGTAGCCTCCAAAGCCAATGAGCAGGAAACCTGACACCAACACCACGAATATCCACATGTCTTCAGAGTCCTCCACAGACAGCTGAGATAAACAAATCAAGTTCCACTGTTTCCAGGAGTCCATGATGTGTCCAACTGGGTCTGTCCCGGCAGAGCATCCGGGAGCCCCTTCTCCCGTTCTCATCGTTGAAAATTTTTTATCAATCACGTTGAGAGACCAACTGACGAGATCCATTTGAGTGAATTTCTGTTTTCCAGTTTCCAGAAAAATGCAGAAGCAGCCGTGCACCCAGCACGCAGAGACATACAAAGGGCCTTGAGGGTAAAGATATGGAGGAGAGGAGGAAAAAAAGCGTCTGCACTCTCCAAGAGCCGGAAGAAAAAGAAAACCACTGTTTTAAGAAAAAGGCAGCCATCTTTGGTTTGAAATCTTTAGGAACAAAATCTCAAATTGATCAATGCCCATTTCGAATCTTTAGGCATGTTTATTACTTCATTTAGTTTAAAAACCATAACAATTTTTTGTTTTTTTGAAACACGCAACAAGCAAATGGCACCCTTTCGGTAGAATGACCCACATAAACTGCATACATTTGAATAAATAATATTTAAAAACTTTACAACTGGACTCATCAAACTTTTGTGGCAAATAAATCTCTTGCATGTTAGTACGAAGGCCTGGAAACGTGCACGACCTACAAAACTGTTCATGTGTAAAATTTCATTTGCACTTCCATGCGTAGTTGTGTCTCTTGTTACTTGCTGCTGACAAATGTTGGCATTAGTCTTCCTCAACATCAAACCTACTTCATCACAGCTTAATCATCTCTCTTTTGTCTGATGAAGAGCTGAGTGAGTAGATGAGCCACGAGTCCTGCAGCCTTCCAGCTTTTATTTGAGTTTTTCTTTCACCTCGCTGTAGCTGCTGACGTTTAAATTGTGTATGCGTCTTTGTTCTAGTTTGATGATGTTTTCATTATCAGTAAATGTGCCGACTGTCAGGTTTTCATTCTTGTAAATCTGCTTTGCTGCTGCTGCTACACCAAAATGTCCCCACTGAGGGGCAATAAAGGGATACCCAGCCAACATGTATAGGTGGGCCTCATATGGATATATATGGGCAAGCCGTATGGGTGCCAACAGGGCTTGTCTGCGCTTTCTTTGTTGACCCCACAGAAATTTGCCCACATAGACTTCAACTATGGATGAGTCATACCATATGGGTCCCTCAAAAACCCGTGCAGGGCCTGTTAATATTTACATTTATATAAATCTACGTGGGCCGTATTTTTCCATGATGGCTTAAACCACAAATAAACCCCGTTGGCACCCATATGGGGCACATGCATGCTGGCTGAGATTCTATTCTATTTTTTCTCTCAAGAAAACACAAATTTTCACTTGTACAAGGTAACAAAATGTACAGGTGAAACTCGAAAAATTAGAAAATGGTGCCAAAGTCCATTTATTTCATTATTTCATCTTAGACTGAGAGACCATCTAAAGCAGTATTTCTCAACCCGGGTCCCCAGTGCCCCCCTGCCCTGCATGTTTTCTATGTTGCATTTTCCAACAGCATTGTTTCTCTGCTGCCACACACCTGACTTAAACAAATGAGTGATTAACAGGCTTCTGCAGCACCTGATGTCATCCTAAGGAAGCAATGCAAAAATGTGAATTAGGTGTGCTGTAGCAGAGATATTGACCAGGGTTGAGAAACTCTGATCTAAAGGTTTAGGAACCCTTTGCAGGTGTTTTGTACTCATCAGCTGATTAGAGTGTGACTCTTTGAATCTAGAATATTGAACTAATATTCTAATTGTCTGAGATATAGGGTTTTCATAAACTGTAAGCCATAATCATCACAAATTATAACAAGGCTTGAAATATCTGGAATGAGTACTAGTTTCACCTTTTAATATGAATTACTGAATAAATGAACATTTCAACAATATTTTAATTTTTCTAAATTCACCTGTATCATTTTTGTTCATTTTAAAAAGTTTTTACCTCTCTAATGGCTATGTTCTCTATGAATAAGGTTGTTGATTGTTTAAATGATCAGATTCAAATTCTTAAACATATTTACTTCTAAATGTGCTTATTTTATGTGTCTTCAGTCTTGCTTTTGTGTTTATTTCTGTGCGTAGTTTATTGTTTTCATG